TCACATGCAGGTGTGAATTCTTGAACACCCACATTTATTTTATAATTTGTGAGTCATCAGCTAACAATTTCAAGAAAAAAATGTTTGAAAGAAAATGCTGTGAAGGGGCAAAGCTATAGACTCTCAAACTGCACCACAGTAAAAACAAACAAACAAAAACAAATGTGAAGCGCCTCTTCAAGAGCTGTTTAATGATCAATCAATGTAGCATGTGAAGATCCATGCTGTGAAGACATTTTAAAAAGCTGAATGCAGTTTCACCAGTCCCCCACCCTCAATTTGATTGAGATAGCCATGCTGCAGGAGAGAGTGATTAACCATTTTCCCCAAATCACATGTCCCATACTATTAAGGTTGCTGGGAGAAAAATGTAAAGCATTCATATAGAAGTATCCCCCACAACCCTGCAGGCTAATAAGCAATTTGGGCAATGTGAAAATTTTGATCAGGGAATGGAAAAGAGGTGGGGGTTAAGCAGTTCCAACTTAATGAGAGCATGTCTATATTTAAACTTTTTAAAGTTTTAGATTTTCTGTGTACATGTAATTTGACCCCTGTCTGTTTTAAAACATCACATTCCTGGTAGCTAAAGGATAGCAGAAATATTAAGCATGTATGTATTTTAATTTATAGGCTCTCCTTCATGAAATAACTGCAGCAGTTTTGAGAACAAGCTCACCAATAGCTCTGAGTCTTCCTGCTCAGACCTGTAATGAATGCCTCTATCCCCCATTCTGCCATACCACCATAATGCTATCGAACCCCATAAGAACCACAGCTTAGTAGTAAAAGTCCACATGTGTTATAGTCATGCTTAAGGTCCCCAACCTCTAACATTCCCAATTAAGAGATCCCAGCAGGCTACCCCACTTCTCAAAATAAAAGGCCAAACTTTTTGTCATATTAAATCTTTGCAGTTGCTTATTTTTTAAAAAACATAGAACACACACAGATTCAGGATAGTGATCACAGCAAGCGGGAGGGTTTTTAAAGCCCTCTCCCCACTGTGAGGGATTGGCAGGGCTTGCTGTCTCTTACCCAGCTCCCATCAGACCCCCACTGTGTCACCAGGGTGCTCCATGCCCTCCCTGCTGAGGCAGCTGCAGCTGGCAGTGTTGTGTTTGAGTAACAGTGGCAGCCAACACACACTCAGAGCTTGGACTGATGGCCATAACTGGGTTCACCTCATAAAGGGAGGAGTTAGGAGAAAGGGAAAGCAGGCAGGCACAATAAAGAAAGAGGGAAAGGAGACAGGTGAGGTGGTGGGGAGAAGCAACGGTGAGCTAAAGAGACTGGAACAAAAACAAAGAAAGAGGCAAGACAGGAGGGAAGTACAGAAGGAAAATGCTACCTTCCATTCTTCTTTACTCCTGCCTGGAGCCCCTTAATATACTAAGGAAAGAAGAGACTCATCCCTCTTCCCACACTGCCCCTTTTAGAACAAGCTCCAAAAGTCTTCAACAGACTTAATTGCTCAAGGCTGGAGGAGATGCAGGTATTTGAGGAAAAGTACCAGGGAGGAAAAAAATCCAAGAAGGATTTAGCAGCTGTCAGCATTATTTCTCCCACATTTGACAAAGACAAACTGGGGGAGAGATTATTTACCTGTATGACATTGGTTGATGCTTATGTGAAGGCAGAAATAATTTTCCTGCCAAATGAGATATTCCCCAATTGTTTTATGCTTATTTGGAAACTTCCAATGTTATAACCAGGACAGTCCTTTTTCTTACACTTTTGAGTTAAAGCATATTCCTAACTAATGCGTATCTGATGGAGTTAATGGGCATGGAAGCTACTGATGTGCCTTTGCCACAAGATCTGCTTGCACTCACATGTTACCATCCAAATAGAATTGCCACGATATTTGCTATTAGTGTCAGAAGACAGCTGGCTTTGTGGAGATTTTAAAGACTTCTCAGCCCACTGAGGTCTTGGTCACATCCTTCCCCCACGGCTACCGGAAGTTTGAAAAGGGATCATGAAATCCCAGCCTGTGCATTAACCTAACATGTAGCTTGACCCTACAAGAACTGCCATCAGAATGGACAGGCCACTGAACTAAGTCAGATTCTTACTATGTTTCTTAAAAGAGCATCTCAGCTACTTCTCAGCTTCAGAGGAGTCAAACTGATAGCTAGGATGCTCTTCACAGAAGAGATGAATAGATAATAGGCAGCATAGGAATGAAGAATATGTGCAATTTGCGTGTGTCTACTGACCTTGGAGCAATAATCATGGCTATACAAATAGCACTTCTCAATTGTCTTATTCCTTCAATTCTGTTCAGCCTTGCACCTAAGGTGTGGCTTTAGGAAATCAGAGAGAGACTGCATCTACATACATGTGAATGCCTGTCACAGTCTTTACTGTGTTTTCAATACTGAACAATTATTACTATAAATGCGCACACTCAAACCTCTTTTTATAGCGAGTTCTCAATATTTAGAACAAGGTCATTTTTAATTTTATTAGGTTGGCAGTCATCAGATTCTAAAACAGAGGAGATGAAGATGGAAGGACAGGGTATGTGCACACATGTTTCCAGCAGACAAACTGGAAAGGGTTTAAAGGAGGGAAACAAGGATGATCCAGGGACTGGAAACAAAGCCCTTGTGAGGACAACCTGGAAGAACTGGGCATGCTTTGTCTTGAGAAGAGAACACTGAGAGGAGATAGGCTGCATTTTTCAAGTACCTGAAAGGTTGTCACAAAGAAGAAGGCCAGGACCTCTTCTCATTCACCCCAAAGTGCAAGACACAGAATAGTTACAAGAAGCCAAAATTCTGGCTGAATACTGGGAAGAACTTGCTGACTGTTAGAGCAGTATGACAGTGGAACCAATTACCTAAGGAGGTTCTGGGTTCTCCCACACAAGAGGCATTCAAGATGCAGCTAGGCATCCATCTGAGAGTGATGGAGTTCTGTATTGAACAGGAGGTTGGACCAGTGGGCCTTCTTGGCCCCTTCCAGCTCTACTGTTCTATAATTCTATGTGTACGTATGTAGGGCACACAGTCCTTCCGCCTGCTCTAGACCTTTAGGCTCTGCTTTCAGTTTCAAGTTTGAAGTGCATATTACTATGAGAAGAGCAGAAAGGAACAGAAACAGGGCATTTACCTCCTACACAGTGATATGTTTTATCTGTAAGATACATAGGTAGTCCATTTCAGTTTTGTATTTGAACTTATAGAGGATGTTCATAACAGTAACTAAAGCATTTGTTTGCGAACGATATTGAAATACTTATATCCATAAACAGTGCCAGAATATTATTACGACCACTGAAACATAGCTTTTATATAAAAGATTTTCAGAGCCTCTACAAAAGCCAGAAACTGAGTGGTTATCTATAAAAATCCACACTGAGCTGCAAGGTAACCCATTACAGATGGAGGCTATTGCCTCTGCATGCTGAATCACAGCTTCTTGCTAAAATTTAACTGCATCTAAATTAGGAAAAGACTGATCACAAGACATTCAGGAAATAAATGTTCTTATGCTTCAGGAGAAGGCTCAATACTGGAAGACCAATTCAAGATTGTGATGTCAAATAGTAAAATATCATAAAGGATTCTAGCTCTCACATACCTCATACTCTATAGAAATACATTCAAAACATTTTTTAAAAATCAGATTTCTATTACTGGCAGTATAGAAGTCCACAAATTTAACTAGTAGTACAATTACTTATCCCCAGAAAAAATATTTGAGGGATAAATCACCCAAATTTTAAGTTGTTATAAAAACACAATTTACAGCAATATAAATGATAATAAATATTTTGCAATAATCAAGAACAGTGTTTATTTACAACCTCCCCAAATCACTTCACTTGCTTCAACTGCATACATATTCACAACTTAGCATTCAAAAATATATACATTTCAGGTTAACTAGTCCAAATCCTGCTTTACAGCTGCAGAAATAGTAAACATGTCTCAGACAAAATGGGAACAGTTCAGTCAAATTGTGGTCTAGATTGCCATATCCAGCACCCAGATCTTACCACTAGGATGCCACTAAGTGTCAGCAGTGAGAAAGAGTGTTTGGCTGAATAAGATGCAAAGCACAAAAACTTTAGAAACAGACTCCAAAATAGCTCAGTGAGAACTGAGCATGCCCATGTGTACAGAGAACTGTCAGGCTATTAGAGCAAGCTGGGAGATAGTGCCTGGAAAGGAATGTATAATGGGCACAGCTGGCTGACACCCTGTAAAGAATTATTCTATTACAGGTGTTGCTTGATTTAAAACAAATTTGAAAGGTAATCCAAATATTGGAGGATTCCATTGAAGCCAGTGTGGCATAGCAGTCAGACTGCTGGGCTAGGTCTTGACAGACCCAGGATTTAGTTCATATTCAGCCACAAAACACACAGGGTGAGTTTTGATCACTTACATGCTTTCAAACTAACCCATCTCACAGGGTTTTTGTTACGATAAAATGGAGAGGAAGACAATTTGTAAGCTGCTTTGGGTTCTTTGCAAGAGAAAGAAAAGTATGGTATAAACGTAATAATAATAATAAAATAATAGAGCTATTAATTGCACTAGAAGACTTATGTCTTTAAATATTGCTTCATGTGAAAAAACAGTAATAAAGTGCTTTTACTGAAAAATTGTTTCCAACTAAGATACTCTGGACTTCAAAAATAGGTAACCCACTGCATTTATTTTTCTCTGTTGTAAGAAAAAGCTATGGTTGGGATATACTGACTGGATATATACATAGGAGAGAAAACATCTGCACTGGCAGAGCTAAGCTTCTTTTTCAATTGAACAGTGCCTTCTTTGAAGGAAAACAGTAAGCAAACTGAATGGCATGTGTGGCTCCTTCACAACACTCATTACACAGATATCCTTTCTTTGGATATAGGCCCATACAAAAAACTTTGCCTTAAGTTTAAACCAAAAAATAAAGAAAGAGGAAAAACTGACCATCCTGGCAATATAGTGCATGTGTATTATTTAATAAGGACTTGTGAATGGAATTTGTACCTATGCGCAAACGGCAATGCATTCTGGGTTGGTTCAGCCCTTGGTTCTGAGTTTTGTGTCACTTCTGGGGTTGTCCTTTCATCATCTGTCCCATTAATACTCTCAGGTGTAAGAGGAGATTGAATTTCACCTGCAGATTCCTTAAAGAAAGAAAGTCATGGTTACATGTTGTGTCTTCTATAAAATATAATCCCAAGGATAAAACAAAATCTGCTGCTATCATGCACTTGATAGGTATTGGGGGGGAGTGACATGTTCCTACTGGGCTTTAACACATTTAGTTTAGAAAACCAAATGATGTCTAGAGGACTGTAACCAAAGGACACCCTTCCCCACATCCCACTTATCAGCGTACAATGGGGGAAATGTCTCTTTCTGCTTGACACAGCACTTTCTCCCTTCCCATGACTCTTTGGAGTGGTAGTGGCAAAGCCATGCAAACACAATTCAATTTTTCTTTTTTAAACAGAAATGCCACACAAGAGAACACTGTCTGGATATTGCTCAGGGTCTGATTGCTCAGGGTCTGACCAATCACTGAATAAATCACTTTATTTCTTGGTTTTTATACCACCCAATAGCAAAATCACTCTCTGAGCAGTTGATAATAATTTCTCCAAAAACACACAAAAAAGATACACAATACAAAATATGGATAGATACAATAAAACATAATATAAAATTGCAGTATCAAATTTAAGAATTTAAAATTCCAATCTACAAAAATGTAAAACAGTTTAAACATCTAAAACAATTTCAATAAAACTAAACCTAAGAGCGCAACACATGCCATTAAACGCGATGGCTATATGTGGGATTGGTAAATAATTGATCCTAGTTCAAACTACTAACAACCTCAGAAAGGAAACAGAGTATATGCATAGGCTTTCTATCTTTATCTGTTTTACCTGCTACATTTTGGCCTGGTTTGCTGTGCAATAATATTGAGCTATTTGCTCTATAAGCATCTTTTGGCAGCTCACCTGTTCCTTGTGTACATTACAAAAAGTGCTCTATAGGAGATGCATGGATGGATGGATTTACTTTCAATAGGAAATGGCCAATGTGACCCATTAGAGCCTTCTGGTTTTATGCATAGATAGCTACAGTGCTGGCTTCTACATCCTATGCCATGAAATCAAATGAAAAACTTCACATGTTTCAGATTTCACTAATAATCAGTGTGCCTTGGGCTCTAGATACATAAATGCCATCTTTCTAGCTAATGTTTTAGCATAAACTTCATGTCTCCGTGAAGAGAAAGATGTACACGTTTTCAATGTTTCACTGGTTGACAGGGTTTGTACAATCACCCATGTTCTGAGCAGTACAGAAGTACTTTAAATAACTTGGGATGTATTAAGGGAGCAATCCTATATAACAGGTATAGACAGAAAAAAATCATACAACTCACAAAACCTCTAGCCAGAAAATATTGGTTGTGTGAAGTCTTTTTCTCTCCTTAAACATGCACAAGTTAGTGTCCTAATGCTCTTTTGAAAACAGAGATATGCAGGAGTCCCATTTTCATCACCTATATGTCCTATATAACTTATATACAAAAGTGCATATTCCAGTTATTAAAGGAGTAGTTTACATTTGTTACTTTTTAAGATGTTCATCGAGCTGTATTATATACATAATTTTAAATCATTCTTCCTGTACCAACTTGCTAGAAATAGAGTTTTATACATCAGCTTAAAGATGGATCAAATGTACTAGAATTTCAGTACATATTCAATACATATGGAACCCACAGTGCAGATCTGATGTTTGCATAATGGATGTAATGTGATTAAATGACTTAAATTCTTTATATGTTAGGATGTGGTAGGCTTTCTTTTTTAACTAGGAGAGATCAAAAGCCTGCCAATACTTGAACAAAAATTACATTGGCTGGAATACTTTTTCCTGTCCAGTTAGAATATTTAATAAACTGTATCATCTACTAAGGCATTTTGCACAAAATGGAAGCTACATTGTGTACACCTAAAGATGAATATGATGTTCAGTGATTCACTAGTTTATGGTCCTACATGAACAGCCAAAAATTACAACTAAATTGTTTTTGCTTAAGTTCTGAGGAAAAGGATCCAAACAAGAAGGAAGAGCATAATGCTTTCAAAGAGGACTGCATGTGATGCTGATTTCTGCATGGTGGCATTTCACATTAATTATATTTATGGTACATTATGAAGGATGTGTTAGTTATATGATAAAGCCCTCTGATGTTAAAAAATTACAATTCAAATAGCATGTTGTTGGATTTCTTATGTTCCTAGTAACTTGATTCAAAGTCATAAAAATACGAGCGTCTCTAGATGCCTTGTTTGAGAAATTGCTTGAGATATCTGCTACCCTTTAAATACAAAGTGATTCAGGATCACAGGCCCATGGAAGCTAGTGTTTGCATACTGTTCTGACTAATGCATGAACCCTTTGTGCACTTAGGTACTCAAGTAATGTGCACTTAGGTACTCTTTGTGCACTTAGGTACTCAAGTAATGAAGGAGTTACTTGAACCAAGTACAAGTATATGGAGAAGAGGAAGTGATCTGTTGTGTTCCATTTAGATGAAAGAAACCATTACTACAGAGCGATGATTAGGTATCATAACTTTTTATCACACTACATTATTAGTAATCTAAGATAGTTTGACTACTAAGAGATAGTTATTAAATGGTTGTTTTCTGTATTTCCCCTGTAACTAAGAACTAGAGGGACTAGGGACTAAACAACCCAGCAATGAACCCAACAAGCCAAAGGTTAACCACTGGGTTGCTTGGCTCCTAAATGACCCAGTGGTCTTGGTTCACACACGATTGGTCCCATCAGAGGTTATTTATAGAAAATGGAAATGACTTACAGCTAGCACATGCCTCCACAGATCATGGGTTAAATAACCCAAGATTTGCAGCCATGATGTGAAAACCAGGTCACAGAAGGCAAGTAAACTTTATATTGCAATGCAGATTGAGTCAAACTGCTTAGAAGAAAACTAATGATTTTGAAATAGCCACTGTGCGTATTTAACCTAAGCTTTCAAACAATTATTCTTAAACTGGCAATGTCAGAAGGCTTATAGGAAAATTTCAAATGGCTATTTAAATTAATGTACCAGTAAGAGACAAAGATCAATAACAGCAAGAATCTAATAAATATCTTAAATAATTATATCAGAAAATCCACTACTATGAGTTCCAATACGGGTAAACCCATCTGCATTATTTGGTCACCATGCAAATCAACATTTTGCGTGCATTCTGAAATATTTTGTTGGCCATGCATAAGAAATAAGATCCAATCAAAATCCTGAATATCATTCAGAATGGACCTGCATTCACACTTGTGAACAGATTATTATTGTTTATGGAAAAGAAGGTGAGATGCGGTACACAATCCACATGACTTAGGCCTGATTTTCTGGCAGAGTTATACAGTTTTTCTAATTGAAGGGTTTGCATGTGGATTTGCCTCATTAGGAACCACTCCCAGAACTCTTAATCACTTGGACAGCCTCTATAGATACAAAAGTCTCTTTCCATGAGTAGAGGATGATGTGATTACCGAGAGTAGTGAACCTAGGCACTTTTGCTCACACATTTCATTTAACCACTTTGAAAACTCTTGTAAAGTCTTAAAATACCTGAAACATCCAGATATCAAAATGATAACATTTTTTCAGATTTTGCTGGAATGTTTTGACTTATTCAGGCATTCAGTCTCAATGAGAGAAGAGAAGAAATGTGTATGTCCAGGGCTACACATACCATCCTTAGCCTCAGTATCCTCACATATACCGGCTCTACCTCCTTCATTCTCAATCCTTGTGCATTCAGGTATAAATGGAGATTTTAACACAATCAGGGGAACCCACTTATAAACCCTCTTCCTGAAGCAAAAAAAAATGGTGTGATGGCAGTGGAGCTGGTGTGCACAAAGACACTGGAAACTGGTGCATATGCTGCTGTCACCTACACACTTTGTATCTTCATGCATTCAGGCACCATGTCTGAACAGAGATTTAATTAAAACAGATTAGACTTGTGCAGTAACTTTGTGGAATATTTATTTGTCTTTCATAGATCTTTAACAGGGAAAACACTTTTAATAATATCCATGCTACCTTAAATATGACCAAAAAAATTCCAAATTATTCTTGTAGCAGTTCCTGAGCTTTAATTCAAATGATGATGTAAGCTAGTTACACAATCCTATAAATCCCTAGGCTGCTTGAGAAGTGTCAAAAATCTAAGCAAATCTCCCTGCTCCTAACAAGAAAGGGAAACCGGAATATATAGAAGGTTATGAATAACTTTTATAATTCTCTGTATTTCCAATGTTCAGAAATGAGCAACTATCATCATGTAGCACCACCCATACACGAGAAAGTTCTCTAGATACTCAGTGTGTAAATTAAAAGGGCCCAGTGAACTGCATCTTTGAGCAATAAAGGAACTGGCAGAAGAACTCTCAGAGCTACTGTTTATTGTATTTGAGAAGTCATGGAGAATAGTAAAGGGCCTTATGCCTGGAGAAGGGCTAATGTTGTTGCTATCTTAAGAAAGGGAAAAAGGGAGGGCCCTGGGAACTACAGACATGTGAGTGTGACATTGATTCCTAGGAAAATTCTGGAGCCGATTATAAAGCAGCAATCTGCAAGCACCTTGAAAACAATACAGTGATCACTAGAAGCCAGCACGGATCTCTCAAGAACAAATCCTGCCAGACTATTTTTTAAATCGGGTAACCTGCCTGGTAGACTGTGATGTGGATGTAATATATCATGGCTTCATCAAAAGCTTTTGGCAAAATGCCCCATGATAGCCTGACCAACAGGCTAACTACAAGTGGGCTAGATGGAACAACTACCTGGTAGGTACGCAGCTGGGTACAGAATCAGACTCAAAAAGTGTTTACCAATGGCACCTTCTCAAACTAAAATTAGATAATGAGTGGTGTACCATAGAGTTCAGTCCTGGGCCCAGTGCTCTTCAACATATTAATAATTTGGATGAGGAGGTACAGGGAATGTTTATCAGATTTTCAAATGATACAAAATTGGGTGATAACAGCTAATACCCTGGAAGACAGAAACTTGGGAGTCCCACACCTAGAGCAGGGAGTTTGGACCCAAAAGTTTTACTGGCCCCTTACTAGCTTCCAAGTCCACTATTCTATGAGTCTATAAAAGCTCTCAGAATGAAGAGCAAAGGAAAATTGTGTGTGCATATGCTCATGGTAGAGAGGCTAAGGAACAGAGACCAAACAGAGCAGAGGAGACTGGTCTGAAAAACTGCTCCTTCACAGCACAATTTGCCTTTTGACCATTAAGACCAAAAGAGTATCCTGGCTTTTGGCTATGTGTAGAGCAACAAGGAAGAGGAGGAGGGTTGGGAAGGAGGAGGAGGTAGAGAAGGGAAAACTGAAATAGGAAAGATAGCAAGAGATTGGGAATGACAAAAGAAGTGAAAAGATAAAAAGGAGCACCAAGAAGACAAAAGCAAAGGCAGGAAGGGAGTGGCAGATCAAGGAACAGAAAAAAGAGGAAAGGAATGGGAGCTGCAGAAAGATAAGTAGTTATAGGTGTGGAAACCAATGCAAAAGGCATAAGTTACTGTTAGGTGAAACACACTGGGGTCTTTAGGACCTCCTTGCTTTCCCTTGCCTATTTAAGTAGCCACATACCTATACCTCCAGGAATATTTTTCTTTTACTTTGGTTTTATTCTACTTTAAACTTGAGGATGTTGTATCACATTTCATTATGATGTTATATCATCATCATTTCTGTACTGCCTCATGCCTCATTTCTATACTCTTAAAATCTTATGATTAAGTTTTATAAATAGAGTAGAAAGCCTCTACTGCTGGGTGATATAAAATGCAATAAATAAGAAATACAATATGCAAGGCTCTATATTTGCTTGCAAAGTTGCCTGTTCCCCAAACTTACCTGGGGATCCCTCTGAGCTGTCCCATAACCTCCCTGACAAACCCCTAGGGCACAGAAATAACTGCTAGGACAGAATAAACCCAACTATCTTCCTGTGTACCTAAGCACAGCCAAAGAACTTGGACTGCTCTGTTCCTCAGCTTTGCTAAGTTGATGCCCCTCTTATGATTGATGTCTCACACCCACCTAAAATCCTCACTATGTTCTTTCCTAACCTCTCACCTACCACCCCAGTTAGTCATTGTCCCAGAATCACTGCCTGCTTCTGCCAACCTTCCTTGGTTCTTTACAGACCCTGCTTTATATACTTACAGCTTACAGTATGCTAGAAGAGGAGAGAGCTACCTAGATACATTTTGAATAGAAGTACTCCTGTTAGAGGTGAAGATCCAGAGCAATGTTTCATTGACAGTCTTATTTATTTATGGGACTTTTATCCCACACTATTAGCCAAACTGAAATGCATAGATTAGATAGGTTAGATTACTCCTATTCATGTAAGAGAGATTACTGTTGTTTAAACTGGATATATAGTCCCACATAAACCCTAGAGAAGAAACAGCCACAGCGTTCCCCAGTGTTTAATGGACATGGCAAGCACAGGAATGGAAGCAATCTCCATGAAACTATGCATGTGAGCTTCCAACATCCAAACATAATAAATAAAACAAGCCACATTTTTAAAGCAGTTGATGGCATCCAGAATCCAATCTGAACAGAGATGAGAAAAAAACAAAAAACAAAAAACGCACCTGTGAGGGTGTACTTGTTAATTCCATCTTTTCTTGGGATTTTTCCTTAGCTAGTCGTGCAGCTTCCTTAAATTCCTGAAATTTTTCTGCAAACTGAAGGCAAAGATTATGTGATTATGCATTCTACACATTTTTTTGTTCTGGAAAAAGGAAACATTTGTACTTGGATATACTTATCCGCAATAGTGGTTCAGAAAGAATCAGAAACAAATAGCTGAGATAACTGTTGAAAAATCAACCTGTCTGCAAAATGAATTGTAGCAGATCTGTTTAGTATTTGAAAGCTAGGCTGAGCCTGAAGAGTAAGCTCGCCTGTATTCATAGTAATATTTTCTATCTACTTACTAGCCAAGATATTCATTTACATGACTCAATTTCAGGAATATTAGTTAAACAGAGCCAGAGCCTAAGGTACTAAAGACGCAGTCTTGTCTGTCCCTTTCTGGTTAGTGGAAAATTGCTCAGGAGCCTGGTAGCTTCTGGCACACTTAAATACTACTGATTTTCTGAACTGCATCCAAGTTGGATTTCTACTGAATTATGGTATTGGCTGATCATTTCTGCCTAGAGTTGGATAAGGGAACTTGTACCTTACTGATTTAATATATTTTTCTGCAGTATCTCAGTATTAATTATTTTCGGAATGTATCTTGCTAACCGTCTACATATTTTGCTTTAAAAGTTTTTCCTGATCCTGTACAGGCCCTTCTTTAAAAGGCCTTTTACATCAAAGCATTTTATCTTCAAATTCTTTAGATTCGATATAGATTTTCTTTCCAGAATTTGAGATCCAGATTTGATCCAGATTTTCTTTCTGGAATTTGAGAAAGCCTCCTTCTCTAGGAGGAAAGGAAACTTTGGCACCAAACATTTTGCATATTAAGAAATAATTCTGTTATGCACAGGGTTTGGTACATACATTCTGTCACTCCTGTTTATGTTCCTGCTTGCAGTCTCTGATTTGCACACATTATTCACAAGGTGAATAATAGTGAGCAGAGGGGAAAGGGTGAATTCCTAGGATCCAGTGGAGGATACTGAGGGAGAAGAATACATTTTTTTAAAAAAAATCCTTCTGTGATTTGCCCAAGACCATCTTTGCTGCCCAGTCCAAGTCTTGGTTTGTATTTACTTTTCCCACTTGCTTCATTTTAACTACTTCAGTGCTTGTGTTTCCCTACAGAACCATCTGTTGTGGCAATTTAAATAAAAAGGCAGTTTAAACAGTTCCAAACATAATATTCCCTTTGAAACTCAGATCTTCAGAACTCAGATTTTATAGCTTTCTCTAGAATGGGTACATGTTATAACAGAGCATGTATGAGAAAGTCAGTGTTTCCTAGGCCATCCTTCCAGTTTTCAGTTGTTTATCCATATGTAACACTGCATTCAATACAGACCACATTTTGGTGTCATTTTACAAACATCTTTAAAATATTAGAACAGTATAACCTATCAAAGGTTTTAAGAATCTTATTCTCAAATCTTTTCCTAGTGCTGCTCTAAGGTGCATTGTGAAGTTTCTATTTTCTGGCCCTGGTCTTCAGTTTCAGATAGTTCCCATTCACATAACTGGAGTCAGCGTTTGAGTAGTTCTTGCTTACTTTTGTCAGTTGGATCAAAAAGATTTGTTAGCAATGTTTTAGGCAACTGGCAGACAAAATATGGTCCACCACCCTGCAAAAGATATGTAGCATATGCAGGCTTTATGTAGAAACCCACTCTTCCTGCACAGAGACCATACAGTTTTAGATGAGAAGGACTGGACGTCAGTGGTAAAACTTGGCTTTGCATATAGAGGAGCCCAAGTTCAAGCCTAGTATCTCCCTTTAAGAGTATCATTAGTAGGAGAAGGAAAAGACTGCCCAAGACCCTTGAGCTGCTGTCTATAAGAATAAACAGTAAGTCAATAATGGGTTAGACAAGTCATCTCACCAAATTAAGGGAGTGTCTGAGGTGGGTTAAACTACAGAACTATTGCAGAATGAACCATGGTGTTAAACCCTAATTTACTAAGTGTCCACGAGCAAATTTCTCTTGCAGCAAAAACAGCTGGAATTTCATCCCTGCTACAGTGGCCCTCACAGGATTCAAATACTCTTTTCATCCAAAGGAAAGAACCTGGAAGTTATTCATCAGACTGTTTGAGTGTGATTTTTAGCAGGGAAGAGCTTTTTATTTGAGAGCTACAGATGTTTAGAAGTACTTATGAACACTGAACAAAGTTACATGGAGAGCTGGTGGATAGTAATTTCAGTGTCGTGATACACTATAGCTCAGTCTTGCCTCTTTATCCAGCCTCCGGTTTTGGTCTTTTTTAGCCATGATCAGTGACTGGATGCGAATGAACCAAATGAAACAAAATCCAGACAAGGCTGAAGATATTACAGTCTTCAGGCCCAATGACCTGGTTAATCCAAGAAAACCAATCACTGGCCTGTGAAACTTGTATTAGGTCCACCCCAACACACACATAGTCACCTTCTTCATTTTTCTTTTGTCCTGTAATCTAAGACTATATAAGAAAGCCCTCAAGACAAAACAGCAAATGAAAATAAGGCACAGGTACTGGTTGCCATATAACTTTGGAATGTCATTCCCTGGAAAAACAGTCAACATCCAAATCTAGACAAGTTTCAGGAAGCTACAGGAACTCAACAATTTGACTTGATTTGGTTTTGGCAGCCAGGGTATTACTGACAAATGGTTAGTGGTTTTAGCTATTTTAACTATTTAGATTTGATTAAAATCTATTGTAGCCTTTAGAAAAGAGCTCACAATCAAAAGAGAAAGATGCTTTTCTTTGAAAAGCTGATGAAAAAGAATAGGCTGATGTTTATGTTAAGCTATTTTTCTCAAAGTTAAATTTTGTACATATTAATTTACTTTTACTGATATGAACTGGAGAAATACAGGGGTATCCTCTATGTTTCCTCAGGAAGACTTGGGGCAGCATTTTCTCAACCATACAACACACTATCTCGCAGTTTTATGTTGCACATTATATGAACATGTCCTATTCTTTGGCAACACTAAGCAAACAATTGTATAGTGCTACTTACTTTTGAAAGATGGTGTTCCGAGGAAAATCCCAAGCCATAAACTGTATTTGCTCTGCTATCTGCCCACTGACCAAACTTCTGTGATGTTTTTGTGAATGTCATGTTGGGAGTGATAGTGCTATTTATTATTGCCTGTACAAAAAAAAGGTATTAATTAAACTAAGTAAAACCTAGTCATAAAGCTACCCTAGGAACACTGTTTTATTATTGTTGGGTGCAGGTATATGTGTGAGGAAATAAATGCAATGATCACTTTTCTAAATTCAGAACCACAGTTTTGTAACTGTGGCAAAATGCACATAGAGAATATGCTACAGTAGCAAATTAAAATATGAGTTGCCAGCTATGAAAATCCACTACTCGTCACTAGAAAAACTGTATGACAGGCACCTGTAAGCAACATGTATTTCATATTACATCTCCATAATCCTTATTCAATAACTATTATTTATTTGATAATATTATCCACTGTCATCAGGTGAAAAGCAAAAAAGCGTGATTGTATCTAACCCCTTCTACTATCAATGTACCAGCAGAATGTCTAACACATGTCAGTTTTCCCTGTGATTAAAAACACTGTGTGAACCAGTGGGAGCCTATGCACATTACAGACATTTACCCAACATGTGAACAGAAGAATGCAGTCAGCAGGGGACTCAGACCCTCTTACTCTTGTAAACGTATGATCCCATGGACAACTAACTGATGGGAAGATGGTAAATCCACAAATATAGTTTGGATTTCAGCTTGTAGAATGCCGTGCCAGCAAGTAATAGTTAGGAATTTTAGTAGCGAGCTGAAGTCCAAAACATCTGGAGGTCAACTTTATGCCCACCAATGGGCAATAATGTCTAAAAGAACAGAATTCTGATGATGTGACCTGAATGCCTATTATGTGAAACAGGATGCTGTACCAGATAGGCCTTTTGTTTTATCAGGCAAGGCTTTTATGTTTCAACACTTCCTTTAAGGTAGTTCCTCTATTTCATACTAACTTAATAAATGTATTAACAAACATTTAAGATAAAATTTAACTTATCCTGGTCACCCCTAGAATGTTCCATATAGCAGCATTCTAACGAATTCCAGATTAAAAGCAAACAAAACAGAACAAAAAACTCTACCCTTGCAGCAACAATAAAAATCAAGTTAAAAAGCCACTTTTGTCATGAATGGTAAGGACCCCTAAATATTGTGAATTCCCCCCGGGTCATTCCCCAGTTTTGACCCTTCACCCAATTTAGACCTGAAAGTCCTCACTTCTGGTTTAACTCTACTTTGTAAATTCATAGTGTAAGCTGATTTTTTAAAAACATTGAAAAACAAGTCCCTATGTTATTTCTAAAACTATAAATGCATTAGATTTCAACTAAAGAACTTCAGCTTTCCTCTGACTGCTTAGTTTCAGGCTACAAAATAGATGGGTTCATGGTACAATCAGAAGGCTAAAAGGCAGTAACTAGAAAGTGCTGCAAAATGTAAACTGGGCTATCCATGGGTTAAAATAATCTCTACTCATTATATGCTGTCTTGGTTTCCTGAACCACCCAGTTATAATAAAAGACTCTGTGGCAGTGTAGCCCAGAGGTTGGGAGTCTGTTTTGGTTGAGATCATAATGCAACTCTCTCACAAAACTTTTTGTTCCAGGGTGGCTTAGGTCATACACTACACCAAGCTATGTTTTTGGTGGGTTTTAAAATATGACTCAGTCCTCAACTGCCACCAAATCATGGTCTGCAGTTACATCAGCAGCACACCAACTTTGCAGACAAAGATAGCCTGATTATAGTTCTGATAAGCCTGATTCCATTTGGATTACTGTAATACTTCTGAAAACTTTTTGGAAGTTTCAGACTAGGAAGCTCTGAGGTCCTTATTCATTTTTCCCTGGAAAAAACCTAACAAAAAGAGGACCTCAGACAGCTTTTTTCAGGGTGAAGAAGGAAATCCAATTACTCTCTCTGAGCAGCAATTGGAGATAAAAATTTAAAGACGTTAAAGAATTTAAAGCCCAATCCTATGCATGTTTAGACAGCAAAAAATGCTGAACTCCATTATGGCCATAATACACTGATCAAACTATGGCAAACACACTGGCAAATGATGATTTGACACAGAAGTGTATTAGACCACTCAAAGGAAAAAGTGAGGGTGCAAATTTGCCTCCTGCTCAAATTAACATCAAAATGGCAACTGCCAAGAGAAACTCCATCACCACAACATCAAAATTCAGCTTAGAAAATCTAACTGCTTCCACCCATTAGACCCCAATCCTTTTGAAGGATTTTGTATCCATTTAATAAAACCATCAGATTCCTCTATCTCACAGCAAACTAACCCCTAGGAACACATCTGCTCCATGGATCATTAACAGTTAAATCCTACACATAGCTACTCAAAGTAAGTCCCATTAACTTTGACTCCTAGGTAATTGGGTACAGGATTGCAACCTAAACTAGTTTTAGGAAACTGAACAGGTGAAGAGAAATATTGTGCTTCCCACCAGCAACTGTCAACTCCTTATAGGAAACACAAGACTGAAGCAACATGTGCAATGATAAAGACAGGCAGGAACTGGTAAGGGTAGAGTCATTTCCTCTGCTTTTATACACCAAAGGATACCACTAGTGGAGGCTTTGAAACATGCTATATCAATGTAGAAACCTCAACAAAATATACAATAAGGACAAAATAGCATATTATACAAAAAAGTTGGATTTCTCAATACTATGCCTTCACTTTGAATCAAATTCTATTTCCATTGGTGGGCAGGGGTCAAAATTCTTGCCCATTTGTGCTTTAAAGCAAGTAGCACCAGTAACTACACCTTAGGAGAAGCATTCAACTTTTAAGAAAGGAGGGGGGTCCTGGATCTTGGTTGAGAGAAAGGGAATGGCCTTTAGAGAAACCTCAGAGGGTGAGATTTGGCCCAAGCCTGAGGTTATATACTCCTCCTCTAGAGCAACTACAGAAAAACAAATGCTATTAAAGATGTGGCACTCAGCAAGTCTCTTTTTCATTCTTTCCCAGTCTGGATCCCTCCACCCAATGTTGCTGCTAACCCCATGGCTAGGAGTTACAACCATTTCCCCTCTGTGAGGTTAGCACCTTTGGATAGTGATGTGTGATCTAAAATAAGGAAAGAGGTACAATCAGATTTAGCATAATTTTACAACTGTTTTAAAATGAAGGGGTGTAAGAAGTTCCAATCGCAGATCTCCTGCAAAACATGGAGTTTGTAAGCACAGTACATGCAACTGTTTAAATGAAACTGTGGAGCAGTCTTGGAACATTACCAGATTTGGGAGTACAAGGTACCACTAATATCTTGACTCAGTAATTTGTAAAAGTATACTCCACGAATAATGTGTCATGTTTAATTTATTCCAGAAATCTAACTAAACAAAGGCTACTTAATTAATGTGTGCCATAAATTATATCTTGTGTTTTTCAGGTGCTTGAAAGAATGTGGTGTGTATACTTTATTCAAGTAAACCACTGCTCAGAAATAAAAGCAGCCTAATTTTAAACAAATAATTAACTTTGAATTTAATTCAAGGCAATGAGAGCTTGGTGCCTATAGCCAGAACAATTTCTGAATTCAAAGGTCATCTTCTCCAGGATTAGAAACTGAGACTTACTATGAGAGCCTGAAATCAACTACTCAGCAGCACTGGAGAAAGAAATACTTGTTCAAAGCTTTGTACCTAAAATTGCAGCACATTCCAGGGAATGGGTTTTCAAAAAGCATAAATGGTACTGAAGCCCCTGGAATCCTAATTAAATGTTTTACAGATCTTCCTGTATTTCTGGCATGGACCACTGCTGTAATTAGTTCAAATGAGCCATTGCTATCATATAATTATTGAAAAATGAAAGAAGGAATACTTCAGCTTTCTACATTTAAGTCATCCAGTTGGTGGTGCTAGATAATTGTATAATCCAATTCTCACATGAAACTCCACATGTTTTTTCTGATATCTGCAAAAATGCACTACAGCATGAATGAAATTGGGTGGCAGGATCAATAACCTCAGAAGCCTGCTTTGTGCCTTACCAACAGGCTTCAATGGAGAAATTGTTTGATCTTTCAGTACTTGAATTAAATCATGCAGCATCAGTATCTGCTTTGCATATTGGCATCAATTAGTCTTTTCCATGTATTAGGTGACTGATACACTGCAAGAATACAAGCTTCCCATAACAATGAGAGGCAGGAAGCTCAATTTTCTAAGCAGCGGATAAGCAGCACATCTGTAAAAAGCCCCTGCCCTACAGATGCTTCTTTACTGTAAGCCATTTAATAAATAAGGATTTTAACAAGCAACCTCTTTATACACCAGGGCAAACATTGCAGATGTCTTTATGTCCCCTTCAACCCTCTTCTGAATATTCAGGTATGCCCCCAATTTGATCTCTTATTACCCCTTCCTCAGTTCTTTCTATGCTGTTTCTCTCACTGTCAACACATAGATTATGAACTCCTTGTAGCAGGACTTTCTGTTTTGCTTACATTACACCAAATAATTGAGTGCCGTATACAAAAATAATGTTTTGAAGCTGCAGTCTATCTACAAGATTCTTCACTTTAGGTAGAAATGAATGAATTTGGAGAATATGAACTAAATTGCTCAATGAACCAGCTTGCATAAGCAGCTAGATACAATTTACTATTTGACAGAAAGTGAGGATTTCAAGAATATTTCAGAAGGAAGGACAATGTGTTAGTGGATAAATAACATTGCTATTTCACCTCATAATGCGCCATCCAAAGTGCTCAGGAAGATCATACATGTCTACAAATGCATCAGGTTGTCCAAACAGCTTGGCTAGGTTTGCATGTCAATAACTGTGTGGTGGCCACAGTGCATGGTTTTTTGCCTGAATATACCTGATATATGGTTAAATGGTTTGTATGCTAACATGGTTTTCAACTTCCTCACTTAGTCTTCCCACTGGTGACATACTGGTGGCATGTATCCCATCAGCCAGCATGCCTGAAATTCCACCCCACATTGGATGACTGGAGAAGCTCCTGCAGCAGCTGTCACCCTTCCCAGGAGACTCTGTGGTGGCACTGCAGAAACTATAATGTTGGGTTCAGATGATCAGAGAAACCATGGTAAAGCTTGGAAACCATTTAACAGATCATTGGTTTTTAGAAACCATGATAAGAACAAACATACCAATCATGACATACCATGACAGAATTCAGATGACATGACAGGCTAACCTGTGTAAGAAATCATCATAGCTTGTTGTGTCATGCAATCCTGTCCTTTTCTTATTCAAGAGATTCCCTCCCTACTAGCAGCTTAGAATCCCCTCTCCATCCAACCCTGGAAGTCTGTTCTGTTCATAGTCATACTGAAAACAATCAAAAATTTGTTCAAGCTCCACTTCTAAGACTTTAAAATATATGTTTTAAATGGTAAAACTGTTTCTTTTTAAATGGTTGTTAACACTTAAAGACCGCACATCTGCTCAACTTTCTTACAGTTTAATGTTTTACAAAGTGATGTGTTATGGACTGTACAAGTTATCAAATGCAATCAATAAAACATTCCTCAGTGATAATGTTGTATGAACTGGAAATACACTAATCATTTACAATACTGAAAATATGCTATTTGTCTATAAAACATTACAGAAAAATATATCCAGATTTTTTAAAATTGCAGAATGATTACCCTGTTAATTTTCTATTAAATGTTATGACCAACACATACACACACCTATCACTGCATACACACATGTGCACACACACACTAAGCAGCATATATTTTAACTTCTGCCCTACCTCACAGTGAATTCATAGTAAATTCAATTTAAATCAAATGAATCAAACAATCCCTGAACATCTGCCAGTACACATCCAGTATTATCTTGTGTACAAAGTTCCAAGGTTTTTTTACTTCATTTTGTATCCTATTTCAACTGAAAACTCTGACTTGTGTTAGAAAGAAAACAAAATTAAGGCATTTGTGCTTAGATTTCAATGCATTTATAAAAGCTTACATGCACTAAACAAACAACTTACCTTTGAGCCATCCAAGCTAATTATCCTATAGACATTTCTTGTGCTGTCATAAAAGTAGGACACGGTAACAGCATGCTTGCTGGTGGGAACCCAGTTCTTCTTTGTGTTAGGGTCAATCTGGAAGACATGAGCTCGGGTGCTGTAGATGGGTTGTTCCCTGAAGGGCAGAAAGTAAAAGTGATGGATTTGATTTGGACGCAATATGGTCATGCACAAGTCATCTGGATATTCCATCCACTGGCCCCTATGAACTTCACTTTGCATGAGTAATGTACTTGGCCCCTACAAGTTTATGTGCATGGAGTGGAATATAACTGTGGAGCGCATAAGTAGTACTCACAGGAGAGGGAAGCACAAGCTCCTTTAAAACAAATTGAGTGGCCAGCTGTACCGTCAGATAAGAGAGACGTAGCTAAATATAGAGACTCTACTGATCCACCACTTTCCCATCCCCCATACTCCATCTGTCAACCTCTTTAACAGTGGCTGTCAATAATACAAATGTAACTTCCTTCCATCGAGGGATATCTAGTTATAGAACTTTTATCACTGTACTCTTGAATTCTTACTAGCTACCCTAAATTGTTCAATAAATTACAACCCATAATCAGAAACCAAACTATATTGCTTGCATCTTCTTTTATCAAATACTTCAAATGGTAGATCACAACTACTGTCTCCTTCAGCTGTAGCTGAAGATATAGTTTTATGGCTGTTGAGCCATATACAAACTATCAGCTTACCATTGCCAGGAGGAAACAATGTAAGTAATTAGAATTTTTTAATGGTATCAAGCAGTTTGTATGCAATCTTTGCCTCAACTTCCTTCCACTTCAAGATACTGCTATTCAGTCGAACTTGAGCACCCACCTAAGGGCTAACTTGTCAGATGAGTTGCCTGCTGCTTCTTCTTGATAACCTCTATTAATAGCATTATTAATACCCTTCCTAGACATCACAACCTCTAGTATTCCTTCCATGGAAATGGTTTCCATAGGTGGCATGTTCCAGTAGATTATGTAGAAATCCTATCACCATTCAATAACTATGATATCAAGGGGTGATGTGAACGTGTGGCTGCAGATAAATTCCCTCAGACAGACCTCTCCCCCTTTCAGTTGACATGGAATGAACCACACCAGCTGGTCTCCAAGCTCAGGAAAGCAACCTCAAAGCGGGATAAAAGAGAGTTTTCAAGGTCAGGGAGGGGAAAGACTGAAGAGGGTAAGATTCAGAAGTAGATTCAGATCCACTTCAGTCTCCTCGTCTGACGTTCTAGGTAGATGGACAAAAAGCCCATCAAATAGAAAATAGGACAGGAAGACAAAAATTGCCTCCCCTACTCCTCCAGCTCTGTACCGAATGCCTGTAAGGGCCTGAGTTTGGAAGCTTACACTCAGTTCAACAGGATTGTATCCTTAATGTATCCATTTTTTTTTTACATTTTACAGGATAAAGGCAATAATATTAATACTCATAGTGTTCTTCCTCTTAGTTCTCAGCATTCAAGAGTTGCAAATACAATCCTTTGCCTTCCGTGAAATCTAATCTAATTGTAACTGTACTGAGCAATTTAAGGTCTTACTGTTTTCAATCAGTTTATACAGGAGAGAAGATCCTTAAAAATTATTTTGCACTGGCCACTTTCCAAATTCTTTGGAGGCTGATTTTAGTGATTGTGACATTATGTCTTCATAGTTCAGGTATTTTTCATTTTAAGTCTTTTATACATCAGGTAAACTCTCAGGTAAATCCCATCTGATGCCTATATTATCATGTTTTTGTCACTTTTTGTCCATCACTTTTTAAAAGTTCCATCAATTTTTTTGCATCAATAATATCTCAATTACTGTCAGCTGCTTCAACAAGATTAATATTCATCACACTGAAAAGGATAACTTTCAAGCTTATGCATAGAAAACAAAAATAAAAATCATATTTTTGGTAAGGTCTTTCAGCACCATTGAAGTTTAACCCACCCTATCCTCAAAATACAAAGAAGATATAGGATACTCTTCAGCAATAGGCCTAAATTCAGCACAATCATGCTTAAGCTCATTGAAAACAGCGGACTTCAACAAGCCTCACACTGCACTGGATTTACAATCAGCATTAAAAATACATCAGAACATTACTTTAAAAACAGTGGTTTAGACACCTATTTTAAAAGCTTGGGAAAATAGAATGATTTTTGCTTGACAATTATATAGCAACAGAAGTGCAGCTGGGTGCCTGGGCCTTTCTAGAAATATAGTTTGGCAAGCATTGTGCAGGGGAAAAGGCTTAAATATACGTTGCATTTATTTGTAACTTCCCATCTAAGTATGTTTTATAATCAGACTCATTCCCACTCTGTTCTACCCCAGTAACCAATGTCAGAAACTAGAATGCAGTAAAGTGAGCACCGACCTCTATGAAGCCAGACTACCTATCAGTAAAGCATTGAATGATTCACCAGAGCAAGATGGCTTCCCCATTGTAGCTGTAATTCCAGTCTCCTCTCCACTAGCAACATTCCCTTTGCTAATGTCTTCGTGAAGAGAGAAGTCAGAGGTGGTCCGTAGTAAACTACAACAAAGTTCTTTTGAACAAGATTGTAGCTGATTTATTTTGGGACTTTTAATATTTAAATACGACAAATATGTGGTTTAAGAGAGCAAATGTGAAAGGAAAATCAGAAAGAAACATTCAACACCCCTGAAGTCTTGGCTCTTGTTCTCAAAATAGTACTGTCAACAACTAGGAGCAGGTGGCTGTCTGGGTGGGTTTTTCTGATATTTATTTGCATTGAAAAAGCTACAGTGTTACCTAGGGTTATTCTAAGGCATCAATCAAGTACTTCCACCTTATTTGGCATTAATAAAGAAAGAAAACTAAGATCATGGCATCTGGTCCTCTCACTTCCTGACAAATAGATGGGGAAGAAATGGAGGTAGTGACAGATTTTATTTCCCTGGGCTCCAAGATCACCGCAGATGGGGACTGCAGCCAAGAAATTAAAAGACGCTTGCTCCTTGGGAGGAAAGCTATGGCAAACCTAGACAGCATACTAAAAAGCAGAGACATCACCCTGCCAACAAAAGTGCATATAGTCAAGGCTATGGTTTTCCCAGTTGCAATGTATGGCTGTGAAAGCTGGACCATAAGGCTGAGCGCAAAAGGATTGAGGCCTTTGAATTGTGATGCTGGAGGAGACTCCTGCAAGTGCCTTGGACCACAAGGTGATCAAACCAGTCAGTCCAAGAGGAGATCAACCCAGATGGCTCTTTAGAAGGCCAGATCCTGAAGATGAAACTCAAATACTTTGGCCACCTAATGAGAAGGACTCCCTGGAGAAGAGCCTAATGTTGGGAACAACACATGGCAAAAGAAGAAGGGGATGGCAGAGGATGAGGTGGCTTGATGGTGTCACTGAAGCAGTTGGTATGAGCTTAAGTGTACTACGGGGGATGGTGGAGGACAAGAAGGCCTGGAGAAATGTTGTCCATGGGGTCGCGATGGGTGGGACAAGACTTTGCGACTAACAACAAAGATAAAGCAGGATTAATGGGTCCACTTTGGCTAACTTTTCCTTAAGATAGATAGCACTAAGCACACTGATGATGCTATAAATTGAGGAGACACAGACTGGAAAAGGTTTAGAAAGAAAAGGAAATAGGGACAGAAAAGACTTAATAGCACAGATAAAGCAATAATTAGTGAATTAATTCATTATTCACAGGTTTAATTCATTAGTCACAGGTTTCAGAAGACTTTTCTTGATCCAAAAATCTATTTGGAATGGTGTGTCACTGAAAAAAAGTATTTGAGGCAATTTGGAAAACTGGGAAATCTCGGTTGAAGGTACCCTGGGCTCACTTCCTGGAAAATCTCAGGCAGCAAAGTAGATCTGCTGTTGCCTCCACTTTTATTTTTCCAATATGCTCTATTTGCATATTGGAAAAATAAAACAAATATTAAACTCCAAAACTCTCCATGCTCTCTCTTCTTTACAGGAAACCAAACCCAATCATGTGCTCTTTGGAACTTTTTGCAGCCCAGGGAAGTGGGCAGCCTGCAACAATTTACAAAATCTGAGCTGTATAATACTGGCTTACACTAGACAAAAATTAGCCAAGCAATTCACACAGATGGTAATATTGTTACCAATGATTATATTATTTATCCCTTCTTCAAAATGGATGAAATGAATTTCATCCAATATACTTTTTAAAATCAATAAATGTATGTTAAAGGCTGTATTGGTAAAGAAGCCACGAAAGGAGCTCCCCATGGGTCAGTTTCTTCCTGTATTATTTAACATCTACATGAAACTGTTAAAAGGAATCATCTACATTGACACCAGTATACTGATCACATACAGCTCTGCTTTTCCTTTTTAATTCCATCAGGTGATACTGTAGATCAGTGACTGACTGGATAAGATCTAATAAACTGAAGCTCAAACCAGACAAGATTGTGATACTGTTAGTGGGTGTCTCTTCTGACTGGACACAGGGTGTTTATCCTGTTGCACACCCTCCAAAGGATTGTAGTTTGGAGGTTTTCTGGGAGCTATCTTTACCTCTTGATGGCCTCAGTGACATAGAATGCTTCTATTTTCTTCAGCTGATGACCCAGCCATGCTCCAGCTGGGCAGTTTAAGAAGTCTATGTTCCAGTAACCTCCAGTTTAGATTGCTGCAATACAGTTTGTGTGAGGCTACCTTTGAAAACTGTTCAGGAGGTGCAGATTGTGTAAAATGTGGCAAATAAATTAATAGCTGGGGCCTGAAATATGAGTATATAGCATCAATTCTGGCCCATTTGCACTGGTTGCCTGAATGTTTCTAAGTCCATCTGAAGGGATGTTTTAACTTATAAAGCCTTAGGTGGCTAATGAATGAAATACCTGACAGAGCAGTTCTCCCAGACACTATGACCCTCCCAGACAGTATGATCAACAACCCTAACCCCCGCTCCATATCCACCCTATGGTCTTCTTTGTGGGACACTTAGAAGGTGGCAACACTGGCCTTCTCAGTGCAGGTCTGCCAATTCTCTCCCCACTGAAATTTACCTGGAACCAGCACTGTTACCTTTCTGGCAGCAGGTTCCAACTACCTTCTACTCCTAGGCATTTGATGGAATATGATGGGGTATTTATGTCAGCTGTTTT